AAAAAACACAAACTCCCCCTGGGGATCCTTCGGTGATCTGGGATTCAGACGAACGCATCGACTGAACTGCGAATTATGGAACCGAGTGCGTTTGAGTGCAACCGACTCATGATCTCTCGCTCCAAGTCTTTTGCCTTTTTTGAAACGAGTGGCTTCAACTGCTCTCCTTGCTTCCCGCAGCCGATCAATCTGTTTTGCTGTGATAAATTTTTTGACCAGCATGGCCGGCTCAAGCGGGTGCCATTAAGGACCAGAAGAGTCCTCTTTCGAAACAAATCTCCGTTTTGTGCAGTTTTGGGTTCGTATGGAGGCAGCAGGGGGAAATATGACAGCATCAGTAGCTTCATACAAACATGGAGGCTTGGGATTTTTCGCGCGATCTTGTCGCATGCAGCTGTTGGTCCTTCTCTTTTCCGTAGGGCTTCAGTGCAGGAGACTTCAATATGACTTCCATTCTTTGTTTCAACTCTGAAGAGTCGAAGGAAAAGCTCTCGACAATCACGACCAAAGGACTTTCGATCCCGCATAACTATCAACGAATCATTAAGGACGAGTGTGTTGTGAGGTTTGTTTGTTGACTTCATCGTCCCATTAGATTGATTTCCTGTTCTCTCAGCTGTGATACTCCAGCCTCCCCCAATGGATTATTTGTCAATCTTTCCAATTTTGAGGCTGTCGGTTGGGACTACGTTGTCATCGACTCGATGCGAACAGGAAATAGTTCATATTTACAAATTAAAAGAGTGTGGCGTGCTACAGAAGGACAAAAGAATACAACTGAGGACAACAAGCTGACGAAAATGGCGATCGGATTGGAGGGAGGGTAAACACATTCCATCATCCTCATTCCACCACTTATTGCATCACTGGTTCCTTCATCGTTGTATATTCTTCTATTTTCCACATTCAACTCCGTTTTCACAAATTCATTGCTTTCGTTTTCGCAGATTCAAACCCGACAGCTCCAAATCAATCATGGAGACTTTTTATTCTCTTTATTCAGTTCCACAAAATGTTTTCAGTCCCGTTGAATTCTTCGGACAATCTCGACATCACGTCAGTTTCATTGTTGTTAATAACGACGATTGCCTTGTTTTCCTTCTCCAGAATTTCGAGTCTTCAATCTCTTGGCTGCACGGAATTTCTGTCGCGGCTCATTAAATCAGTGATCGATCATTCTTCAATATCCGCTAACAATGCTTCCGCATGGGAAGACCAGATTAAAGTAAATCTTTACGATGATCAGATTAAGACAATTCTAGACGCTGGACCCACATGGAAATTTCTTTGTCAGGAATCTATCTTCAGTCAAACACTCGAACAAGTCCCTCATCCTCCTTCTATCCCTCCCTCTGATTGGAAATGTGTCCATTGTGGAAATACGAAGAACTTGTGGATGCATTTGACAGACGGGTACGGGCGCGTGTTGTAGTGTGACAACAGTGCGTTGCTTTCAGGTTCATCGGATGTGGTCGAAAACTGTATGGAGTGCCGGATTCAGGATGTTTGACGGGAGAGGAAGGCGCTGCTGTGCGACACCACGCGGAGGATCTCACTCGCCATCTTGCTGTGAAATTGGGAACCATCACGGCAACCTCTGCTGATGTCTACAGCTACACGGAGGATGCGATGGTCACTGACTCGAAACTGGCGGAACATTTGGCACATTTTGGAATTAATATTCAGCGTGTAAGAAGTGAAGAAGTCCGATTCGTTTTCAATCCTTTTCCATAGATTGAGAAAACTGAGCGGACTGTTGCCGAAATGGAAATTGAATTTAATCAGAATTACGACTGGAGCAAAATCTCTGAGTCTGATGTTGAATTGAAACCACTCACAGGGAAAGGGTGAGCAACTAGTAGCAGTAAATCTCAATCCTCGTCATTTGGAAACTCAAGGTTTAACGTGATTGTTGAAAGACCGATTTTATTCTGATTTTGTCTGATTTTGTGTGTCAGTCATATTGGATTGGAAAATCTTGGTAACACGTGTTACATCAACTCTTCTGTCCAGCTGCTGATGAAAGTCACTGAACTTGTTCAACACTCTCACTCTGTTTATCCAAACCTTCTCCAATCTCTCCATAAGGTGCGTCATTGTTTTTGTTTGTTCTCTTCAGCATAAGCATTCATATTCTCTGTCCATATCCTCCGTTCCTCATTTTGTAATTTCCATTTTGTCATTTCATTTTTGTCAGAACTCTCATCCGGCTGAGGATCTCTCTCTTCAGTTCATCAAACTCGTTAATGCACTCACCACTGATCGTTATGTCGATCAAAGGCAGCAACTTTTGAATTCTCTTGATGCTGAATCGCGACAGCTTTACGAGAAAGGTATTGCAATGTTGTTCTTCTTCAATTCATAATCTGTCCATTCAGAGTGTCCCAACGCGTTCGTTGTTCCACGATTATTCGATTCTGTTCCACACGCAATCATCCAGAATTCGCCTCATCAAGGTACGTCGCGCGAGTGTCTACGGAGTGCCTGGTCGAACAGTTTTTCGGCTGACGTTGATGTCTGATGCATGGAAATGATTGGGGCTCAGTGTGTTGAACTGATCGGTACAATCCGCCATCATCTTCAGACAACAGGACGCTGAGGAGTATCTGCGATACTTTCTCGACAAGATAGACACCTCCATGAAATCAAGTGGATCCCAACTTCTTCTTAGTGACTATTTTGGCTTCAAGGTACTTCTTGCTGTTTTGATACAACTATCTATTGTGCATCTGCTGTATAGTATGGTTGTCCTGACTCTATGCTGCTCTCTTGCAATGTATCTACCAATTTATTTTGATCGGTTTTTCCTTTCACAGGTTGAGGAACAAATGAAACAGACTGAATCGTCACTTGTTCGGCTTTCAATAATCGATGAACTCATTCTTAGTCTTCCACTTCCGTTTCCATCCAACGATGATAACGCTCCCGATGCAGAACCCCCAAGCGAAAAAACCGCGATCAGACAACGTGGGGATTGACTCTGTCCCAATTTCGTCATTCGAGGTTCGTCCATTTCGGATATTCTTTGAGTTTTAGATTTATGAGTTTTCTTCTTTATCAACAGGAGGCATTCAAAACATGGAGTGAGGGAAAACCTCACGATTATGATACGATCCAAGAGGGAACGCGTCGTACAATAAGCGTTCGAACAACGCGAAAAATAGAAACGTTTCCTCGGTATCTTTTGGTTCAGTTGAGGAGATTTTACTTGGGGTCTGATTGGACTGCCAAGAAGATTATTGCACCAGTGATTGTAAGTTTTTTTATTCTGAAGATAAATTCCAAAAAGCTTAATCTTTTTATTTCATGAATTTTAATTTGCTTCCGTTTCAGATGCCTGAATCGCTTGATCTGACTCAATATCGCGCTTGCGGACTTCAACCTGATGATGTCGAATGGATGGAGGATCAGCCTTCCAACATTTCAGCCGAACATCGTGCAGTCATCGAGGCCATTATATCAATGGGATTCTCTCAGGATGCGGGATTGTAAGTCTTTCTGATGCAATGAAAGTTGCAGCTATTTGTTTCCAGGCGGGTCGCTTGAGGGGTTAGGGAAAAGCGCTACGATAGAAAGCTGTATTGACTGGATTGTCTCTCACATGGATGACCCTGATATCAACGTCCCTCTACCTCAACCACTCACGTCTACTAGTGACAGCAAGACCTCTGAAGGGGACGGTAATCGGCAACCACTCCGGATGATGTTATAGCGATTGCTTTCAGGGAAATACGTTCTCGTTGGAATTCTCTCTCATATGGGAAGCAATGCAAGTTGCGGGCATTACGTTTTTCATGGATGTGATGAGAATTCAGAAGGCCGCCCCCGCTGGGTGATTTTCAACGACACGAAGGTCGCAGAGTCGCAGCACCCTCCATTGAATCTTGGCTATTTGTATTTGTATAAACGCGTGGGCGATTTGTCTCTGATTTAAGTTTCTTTACTTGCAATTGACAAAAGTATATGAAGGATGAAGTTGGAGAAGTCAACTCGTTCATTTTGCAGTTTAATCTAGAGCTGCAAGTCGACTCAAATAGTTGTACGGCATCCAACTTCCCGATGCAAGAAACAGAACACCGACCTGCTTCTGTTTTCTCCGCGGCTGAAGCAGCGGCTCGTAGCGTTGCCAAAGATTTCTTTTTTCTGTTAAATGGTTTCTCTCATGCTTGACGTCCTTGTCATCGTCGCTCTATCGATTTGTTTTGATGCCCTCATGGAGATACACTTACTTTTCGATGGATCAACTCGCAATGTAATAAGCGCGGGTCTCCTCCTGTTCGACGCTATTCAAGCGAGGTTTAGAAAAAAAAAACCTGCTTCTAAAGCACAATTCCTCATCAAAGTGAAAACAGAAATCGCCCCTAGCTGATGGTTTAAAAAATCTGATCCACCCACAAAAATGTTGAAAAAAAAGAAAATCAGCACTAAAAACGAGATGCTTCGTTCGCCGCATCAGTCTGTGGGATTGCTGTGACGATCAAATATGGATGACACGCCGCGAGGGTAATGAAGGCGGTCAATATGCTCCAAAAATCTTCGGCGCGTTAATAGACCTTCCAAGCGTCCATGGAGACTAAACAGACACAGCCTGTGAAAACGAGTGGATGACAAATCAAGTTCAATATGGTCTCACATACTTTAGTTCTAGCTGCTTGAATACATTGCAGACTTGGTTCAATGACGTATCTGGAACCAGCTGCATAATATGATCATCAACGGTATGAGAGAAGTCCAATCGGATTCTGTTGCTGTCACCATCCGACTTGCTGGTAAGAAATATAAGGTTGTCCCCTTCAATGCTTGATGACTGTCTTCTTGGTTTCTTCGCATCAAACGCTGGTTTAGAACGCCAAGCAGAGGAAGACATTTCGTCAGTTAATTTTGTTCGGGTGACAAGGTGAGTGAAAGACACTTCAGTCTCATCAGTGACATCAGGATTTTGCCGGGCAGCTTCCAATGCTGATCTCAGTTGAGAAGAGGAGACGAAACCCAAGACAATTCTATCCTGCCGTGTGTTGACGAGCGGATATCCCTTGTAAGGATACCTAGATCAATGATAGAAAGATAATTAGAGATAAATAACTGTAGATGACAGAAAGATAATTAGATATAGAAAAAAAAATTAGAGAGCCATCGCTGGATATGAAAAAATAATTAGAGGGCGATGGCTGCAGCGGACAGAAAGATAATTAGATATAGAAAAATAATTAGAGAGAGAGTATTTTTCCATGGCTGGATATGAAGAAATAATTAGAGGACAAAAAGATAATTAGAACTGGAAGAATGTGTATACCCAAATAAGCACAGATATATGAATGTAGAGAGCCAAAATATAATTATTCATAGAGAATGGAAAAAATAATGATGTGATGAATGCATGCACAGAACACAAAAATCAGACATGGATTCATGGAGAGAACACAAAGATAATTAGAGATGGATGATGCATGTAGAGAATAAAAACATAATTAGAGATAGATGAATGAAAAGCAGAGAAAGATAACTAGACAATGACAAGAAAAGTAATTCGATTGGGTTTACTTGTCAACCTTGTGATTCAGGGATCCTACAGTGTTCGACTCGAGCGTGATAATGACCAAACGTGTCTCCATGATGTCAGATGCACGGGCTGTGAACGCGAACTGGAACGAAAAGACCAATTTACAATCAGTAGAATTTAAATAAGAGAATTTAAATAAGAGAATTTAAATAAGAGAATTTAAATAAGAGAATTTAAATAAGAGAATTTAAATAAGAGAATTTAAATAAGGGCAATTGAGTACAACAATATAACTTACATCAAGGTGATCATCTAAATAGGGATAACCTTTCAATCGGATATAACAGTCATAGATAGACTTATCGCATAGAGCTTCACCAACCCATTTTGCAATCATGACAGCAACCATGAATGGAACGACATAAGATAAACCGCCCGTCAATTCGAACATGATAACAACAATAGAAATTGTGACTCGTGTTACACCACCCAACATTGCAGCTGCGCCCACTATAGCGTAAACTCCTGGGTGGAGGCATTTATGGCAGGAAACAAAACCGAATACAGAGTTAAGTTTGATCATGACGAGACCAACAAAACGTCCGATAAGGGCTCCAACCTGTTCAAAATGATGAAATTCTAGACATGAAAAGCATCGCATAGATTAGAGTGATCTCATGAAAATGACAATGATTTGTAAATTTCGAGTCGCACCATTAGTGACGGAACAAACAATCCAGCTGGCACTCCAATTCCGAATGTGAGCACAGTCTGGAAAAAGCGGACAACCGCAGCGAATCCTAACTCTAGCAAAACCGTCCATTTAAGCGAATAATCAGAATAAGACGATTCATCATCACTTCTTAAAGAGCACAATGAAAATACATCCGGATCTGATGAGACGCCACAACGACCAAACAATTGTTCCAATAAAAACGAACTTGGCGTTCTTAACATCGGTAATGGATAATTGATAAAACACGTTCCCAATGTCACAAGAGCGACTTCGTAGATTGGGTGACTTGCAAGAGAATCGAATACTGTCGCTTCTTCATCATCCATTTCACATTGAGCTTGATGAAAAATGTGCCAAGCGCTCCTCCAAGTAATCCAATAACAGCGAAGGGAACTAATTCGACGATTTGCCAAGTCCCAAGCAACGAGACGAATCCATTTGAAACATGGTGAGTCTCCCAGATCCTCCCGCATCGAAATACTTCAATGACATTGCACCAACGACCGCACCGAAGAAAGACTTCCACAACGTTTCCAGGAGGAAAATACGACGAGACTTCCTCAAGCGAGAAAAGGACACCCCCGAGTGGTGCGCCGAACGCCACGGACACACCTGCCGCACTTGCTGCGGAAAGTAACTCTCGTTTGTTCTTTTCATTCGTTTTGTAATTTGTTGAAAGTCTGCCGAGAAGATACGCCCAGCAGCACGCAACATGAACGAGGGGTCCTTCCTTCCCTAGCGATAATCCACTGAGACTGCGAGGCTCAACCCGATGCACTTGATGAGGCACGTCCAACCATTCAAAGCATTTTGGATGAAAAATCCTCCGAGAATCGCTTTGACTTCAGGAATTCCTGATCCCGCTGCTGACATTGAGAAATGCTGGCACAACCAGCAGCTAATACTGCAAGAAATGTTCCAATGAGGATGTACATTCCGTAATCAACAAAATATGAAAACAAATCTTGGCGGATGTGAAGGATGGCGCTCCATGCGTACCACTTTGCATGTTCGACATAATCCATATGCACGACCGGACTCTCATCAATCGAGCACGAGTTTTTTTGAACGTCAACAGCAAGCCGACTTCCACAGCAAAAACTTCGGTCTTGCCAAGGCATACCTGCGCAAATTCCTATTCTGAGGTCAGACAAGAATTTGACGGATATTTCAATTCCTGCCGCTGAAAACGCGGTCAAGACCGCAATGACTGCAGAGAGCACCCATCCCTCCCCCAGATAGAAGAGATGACGACAGCTAGATGGGACTCTTTGAAACAACTGCTTCATTCCGGCAACGCACACGCTCCATTGGGTTGATGGTGGACGTCGTCGGTAATCGTACGACGATTGTAGAGGAAGTCGCTCTTGAAACCTGTCCGTTGTCGGAGGGCTTGGCGGATCTGATCTTACGAGAGGGCTGTCGGAACGACCGAGTCGCAATTCGGAATATCCGGGAGGGTGACGACAGAGTTCGACAGCAGATGTCCGTGGCGTCATTGTCTTGAGGCTGGGAGGGAGACATGGTCCGACAATTTGACTGAGAGGGAAATTTTGAATATCAAGGGGCTTCGAGGGATTTCTCACATCGTCAAGTTCCACATAAAAATTCATCGGTGGTCGTCATCCAGACGACGTGAAAAAAATTGATCTGTGACTGCAGCGTCGAGGGGAGGATGTTGGCATCAATCTTTATGGTTCAGGCGGTTATCAGGCTACTGGATGAGATGTGACTCCTGATCTGGAATAAGCGACAACGAGGCTTCCGTCTTGAGTCGTCATTCATAAAATGTCTATCGAGCAAAACCACAACCTTCCCTAGGCTTCCAGGTAGCAGATGATAATTTTCTACTGGCTCAATCCACCACCACGCTGAGAGTGCAACACTTATTCTTTTCACTAATGTTATGATTCGTTTTGTTAACGTAATAATTTCGATGACAAGTCTTTCAATGCGAGATGAAGAAAGAAACGAGAATTTTCAGATTCAGTGATTTGAGGATTTAAACGTAATAAACAAATAAACCAAATCAAGAGAAACAGAGATTCAACAAAACAAGGAAGTATAAACAAAGCAGCACACATATTTGTGCAATAGGCAGCAAAGAATTGAACCAACAATAGTATCGGACATGCTGAGAGGCAGATGAGAGATGAATGGACTGAATGAGAAGAAAAGAAATAATGCGCCCAAAGGCAAACCGAAACAGATTCACAAACTGAGGACAGAAAGAAGGAGATGTTGGCAGGAGGTTGTTGCCGCCAAAATTCAGACCGATGAACGAAACAAATTGGAACAGGCCTCGGTGGCTGTGGGTTCACATTCAAAATTGAAGACTTACGGTGAATAAAAATGACAATTGATTGCACGATGCTGCGACAGCATTCCTTAGAAAATCGCAACCTAATAATCAACATCCCTATAGAACTGACACCAAAGCAATTGTTGCAAAAAAGACGACAAAAGACTGGGGCACTACCGTTGGTTGGTGCAGTTCACCAAACCAACGCTCATTCTTGTGCACATAAAATTTCACTGTTGAAGGAGAGGCAGTATAGGTGAGAAGGAATTCATGGGGGGGCTTACACATTGATGCCACCGTTAGAGAAGGGCAAAACCGTAAAAGCAAGAGTCCCAACGACAATAAAACATAATCGCTGAAGAATACAACAACAGCACATATGAAGCTGTTCTTTTTTACTGGAAATGGTTTATTTGCCTTCTTATTATTTTTGCGAGAACATGAATCTCAATCATGAGAAAATTTATTTGTATCGAAATCAATTGCAATTGCGCATTCCAATTATTTTCAGAAGCACAGTTATTTCAAGAAGCACATCCATCAGCAATTTCGTAATTCCTTCAACATAATTCACCCAAACACTTTTAATTTAATTTTTTTAATTTTTCAAATACCAAGTTCCTTTTTTCTCGGGCGTGTGCCCCTTTCATCAGCGCACACAGGTCGCATTGCATGTACTGTTTTTCCCATTCAAGGACCAGTCAGGTGTTGAACTCAATCCTTCATTCATTTGGCTCTTCAGCTTTGCAAGGTAAGCATCGAGCGTCCCAATGTGTCTTCCTTCTCATTAAATGTTAACCATGAGCACAATATGATCGGCACTATTGAAACATTGATTATCGAACTGTTTGAAGAAGTTTTTTTTTCTCAGAATGTCTGTCAGTATTCCTCTCCCTCTTCACCCAACTATCGGCGCTGAGTCCACAACTCCAGTGTCAGGATTTGATACGACGACTTCTACGAGCAGAGTCGCCGTCAAGTCTCGTCGATTGTTATTAGCTCGGAAATTATTGGTGAAATTCCAGAATCCGTGGCGTCAAATATGTCGAGGTTCCTGTTGTTGAGGAGGTGGGGTGACAGAATTTCAGTTTACTAATCTATTGAATTTGAATCATGGTGATGGATTGAAAACGCATCCGAGGACAGATTCGATAATCTCGAAAGATCGATAGATTCAAAGATCGATAGATTCGATATATATTCTTAGTAGATATTTGATCGATAATTTCGATTCTGGTAATCTCACTCGATATTTTTCAGGTCATCAGACATGTCCCCCGTCGGGAGGTTCGTGAGGTCGAAAAAATTGTTCCAAAATATGAAGTGGAGTATGTCGAGCGTGTAGTTGAAGTCCCACAAATCCATTATATCGACAAGATGGTTGAGAAGCCAGAAATTCAAGAAATTCTAGTCAACCGAAAAGGCCCCCGACAAGTCCAAGAAGTTCCTCGAGAAGTCATCAAGACTGTCCCAAGAATTGAAACGGTTACTGTTGAAAAAGTCGTCAACGTCCCTGAGAAATCATTGAGGTGGGATCAGCGCACTGGATGGGAGCCTGTCAATTCCTTCGTTTTTGTAGGTTCCCAAGCCCTACCGTGTTGAGCAACAGATTCCAACGAAGCGTTACCAGGACAAGAATTTCCCTGTCGTTGTGGCGCAAACCATTCGACCTGTCGTTACAGAGTCTCGGGAAATGATTGATGTCGATGTTTGTAAGTATTTCACTGTCCATGTCCCATGAAATATTCGACTCTTCTATCTCCATTTTGTCGCTGATCTTCAGTCGAATATGAGCCCCAAGTCATTCCTGTTGACGTCCATGTTGCTAAGCCAGTGCCTTCCCATTTGACGCTGTTGGGGCTATTGAAGAAGTCCATCAAATTGTCGACGTTCCTGCCGCGCAATACAACACAATTTTACGCTCCATCAATACGCATCTTGGACAAGAAGTCGACAGCCTCCCTTACATCAAGGATGGTGTACAAATTCCTTTCTTGGTACGGAATTTGTAATGTCATCTTCAATTTATTTTTTCCCTGTTTAGCTGGTCACGAATCTCCCCAGTTCGCCAGCCTGCGTCGGGTGTCGCAATTCATCGTGCTGGCGAAATCGCAACGCGCGGAACAACCTCCATCTATCAGGATCGCGTTGTGACGGGTCAACGCGGAACAGCTTCCATCTATCAGGATCGCGTTGTGACGGATCAGCGCGGAACAGCTTCCATCTATCAGGCTCCAGACCAACGCGGAACAGCTTCCATGTATCAGGATCGCGGTGCGACGGATCCATATTTTACATCAGGTTCGATCGCCACTGGCCCAGAACAGGCAATCCCACCTGTGTATCCCAACATTGCGACACGTGGTGCTGGATCCAGCGTAGGAAAAACTCAATCTCACTACAAGAGTCACAAGTCGGGACGAATTGCAAGCCACCCGACTCACAAAAGAAGAACTGGGTGCAACTGTTAGATGACAGTCTTGTGAATGGAGCTCTATTGAACAATTGATGGAGTTCCATTGAGCGGTCGTTGCGGGAATTTCATTTCTGCTGCAACTTTTTTTGTGTCTCATGCTTGCGGGTGCTTTATATCGAGGACCTTGAATTTTCTACTCCTCCAGAGTACCGCAACTTCCTTTTCTTATAAACAGCGGAGTAGTGAGAAATGTAAAGTCCCAATTGTACCGTGATGTATGTCTTGCCCGTAGAAATGGGACCGAACTAGTTTTTCCCTCCTCTTCTCCCTTGGGGCTAAGAGTCGTTGACCAATTGTGTTTCGGTTAGCTTCTTAAATGCGAAGCTTGTGAACACTAGGCCGTCTTCTGCTTCATTAATTTGCGATAGCAACGTCTGAAGCATCAGTGAAAATTATGAAAGGTCGTACGGTTGACTTGGTAAGGTAAGTTGCTTCGGTCATCGCCCTTTTAACAGCTTGGAACGCGTCTTCTTGCTCTTCACTCCAAACGAATTTTACGTATTTACCCGTCAGGCGAGTGAGTGTAGTGCTCTTTTGTCTTTAGGTGCCACGGCTTTAGTAATAGCCGAGATCTTAGTAGGATCAGGGATTAAATGACCATGTGATACTCGATGACCCAAATATAGGCGAGCACTTCTCCGTTTCTCTTGTGTCCTTGTTTCTGCAAAAGAAACCAAATCTGGATCATCTACGTCGCTTCGGATGTCTTGTCTACAAAATCAACCTGGTGGAGATAAACTCAAAGAACGTGACCGCAAACATCTACACTTCGACATCCTTCAGAACCGAATACGACGCTGAATGGGAAGCCTGTTCCTCACGTAGCACGCTGTGCAAGCCGCGTTCGCCACTATTCTTGACTTGTTGGTGAGATTTGATCAAAGGTTAATCATGCTCTTGATTTCTGCACTTGATTCGGATTTGTGTTGGATCGGGATTGCCGTGACCATTCGAGACTATTCATCAACAAACACCAGGACATTATCGTTCTTCCTCTTTTCCTTGTACATTTGTAGGGTCCAATTACTCAAGAAGGCTCAGCTCAGTCGTAACGACAACAAATTGAATTTCAAGATGTTCTGTACTGCCCCAGCATGATCGAACCACGTCACTTCCACAACGTCCATTATCATTATCATCATGGTCGACAACAAATGTTACCCCAGAGGACATCACCCCTCAATCGTCGACAAGTAAAATACACGGGTTCACAGCACTCAAAGATTGCAATGGTCTTTATGGTCTCCGCCTTTCTGAAACGCCATCATCTCAAGTTTTACTTTCAACCATTCAGTTTCAGCTGAAGTGATCCATTCACAAAATCGGTCACACGGAACGACTTGATTTTCGATTTTTAGAACGAAATGCAAAGTTTGCTCCTTGTCCAAATCAAAAGCCAATCATTCGGGAACACTTTTCAGAAGGGAAATCTTCCAAATGAAGTATTGTGTGCTGGACGATTTTGTATGAACAGCTAAGATGTTACTATGCACAAAAATGAACAGCTAAGATGTTACT